AGGTGTCTTTCGTTCCTTCGCCCTTGGTTTCCACCCCAACGGGCCGAATCTCAACGTTTCGAGTCTTTTTGGAACCCTAACAAATTTGTGTGAACTGTTTATAACCCTTTCTTTACTAAATGAGAATAAACACTAAAAGGGGTTACTCCCACTTGATTGACGTACTCTGCAAAAACCAGATAATAGACACCCGCGAAAAATAACTTCAAAATTCTGTAGTCGAAATAACAATGATAGGTAGCAGCATTCCTTGGTGATTTCCTTTTCTGTATTAGACTCCTAGGAAGCGGGTTGTACTCGCTGTTAGGAGTGTTCTGATGCCTCAGTTTATGACGGCTGACATTAGATAAATGAACCCAGGAGTGGAGATTCCTCCCTCTTGGCAATCAGAATCCCTTCTAGCAAAGCCTGCCCGGCTGAGACGAGACTCGGCTTCTCAAATACATCTTATTTATCATAGAAAAGTTTTCACTTTATATCTTGAGGAAATTTTCATAAAATTTAACACTTTATGAATTTATAATGAACGCGTTACAAATTAAACACTATGTTTAACGATTATAATGAAAAGCAGGTGCTACCTTTTCTCCTAAATCTTTACCATTTTTGCCTCACTTTATTTGTAAAATTGGTAGATTGAATTTAAAACTCTAATCAACAGTTAAATGTATTTTGTAAAAACGTTCTGTACTAAAAATGTAGAATTGTCATTGTTTGAGTTATTAAATTGAATAACTCAGGTGAATCTTGAAGCAAACCATGTGTAAGCCAGAACTTTGAGGGGGCAGATTTGGGAGAGTTGAATGGTTGAATGCTACTCATGGTACTGCCCCATCTCTTATCCCCTCCAAACCTCACATTCTTTTTTTTTTTAAGAGAGGGGGGGGGACACACACAGAGAGAGAGAGAGAGAGAGAGAGAGAGAGAGAGAGAGAATTTTTTTTTAACATTTTATTTTATTTTTTCTTAGTTCTCGGCGGACACAACATCTTTGTTGGTATGTGGTGCTGCTGAGGATGCCGCACGCATGCTAGGCGAGCGCGCTTCCACTTGAGCCACATCCCCAGCCCAAACCTCACATTCTTCATCTGTACAAGTTCTCACTAAATTATCTTTAAGATGCTTTCCAGCTTTAAAATTTAGTTTCTGAGTCTATCAGTGTTCAGTAGGACTGGTGTGTGTGTCTCAGAATTAAGTTTAGGGATAGAAAATCATGAGGAGTGTGTGACAAATATGTATGTGTGTGTGTGTGTGTGTGTGTGTGTGTGTAGTATGTTAGGTATTGCCCATGAAAAACAGGCTTATTTTTATGTCCATATTGTGCATTTATTTTCTTAATTGTAAGATTAACTTAGAAACGAAGAGTAAATTTCCCAATGTCTAAGCATAAACCCCAAGTAAATAAATAAGCTGGCTCATTACAGTTTATGAAATCTTTCTCTTTCTTGAATTTCCAAGAAAGTCATGAAGAATTGTTCTCAGGACACTGATCATTTGCTGTGTGTGGATATCCACAACCATTCTTCCCAGTCTCTTCCTCTCAGGGTCTCCCTTCCTTCCATCCTGGAAGATTTGCAGCAGCCTCAGCAGAGAACAGGCCTAGATCAGGTTTCAGAATCTCTCCCACCAGAACTGGGGATTCCAAAGATATAACTCACACACTCACACACACATATATCCTGTTCTGATATCAATCCCTCTCTAAGCCTGTCCCCCTTCGACTCCTCAGATCAAGTTAATGGATCTCATGCTCTAGGAATTTTTGCCTGAAGATATTTTTGTCTTTGAACATATTTTGATGCATTATAATAACTTGTTTACATGTTCTGTCACCCAAATACACTGTAAGTGCCTGAGGATTGGAGTCCTTATCATCTTTGAATTTCTGGAGCCTGGTATATAGTAGGTACTCAATAGGTGATTTAATAATGAATTTGAAGATATTCTAGTGCTATTAAGAGGACAAAAAGGAAGCTTCTAGAGATTGTGAGGTCTTTCCACATGAACTTGTGAGGATAGCTCTGAGAACCTCAGAATCAGTAGCAGCTCCCTTTCTTCACCTCTGAGAGTTATAACCGAAACAGCACGGCTTGGTAAAGCGGCAGCACTTCCAATCATTGTTGCATGAATTTTGGCCCCATGTACTGGAGGGACCTGAGTGTCAAACACTACAAGTATTGGTGTTTTATTGTTGCTGAAACAAATTATCACAAATGTAGTGACTTAAAACAACACAAATTWATTTTCTTACAGTTCTGGAGGTCAGAAGTCAGAAGTGAGTCTTACAGGGTTACAATCAAGATGTCAATGAGGCTTAACTGCTTTTTTTTTTTTTTTTTTTGTATTGGTACTGGAGATTGAACCCAGAGACACTTAACCACTGAGCCACATCCCCAGCCCTTTTTATTTATTTTTATTTATTTTTTAGTTGTAGATGGACACAATACCTTTATTTTACTTATTTATTTTTATGTGGTGCTGAGGATGGAACCCAGTGCCTCACACCTGCAAGACAAATACTCTACCAGTGAGCTACTGAGCTACAGCCCCAGTCCACGCCCCACCCCCTTTTGTATTTTATTTAGAGACAGGGTCTCAAATAGTTGCTTAGGGCAATTTAGCAATTGCTAAGTTGCTGAGGCTGGCTTTGAACTCTTCATCCTCCTGCTTCAGCCTTCTGAGCAACTGGGATTAAAGGTGTGCACCACCACACCSGTAGGCTTAATTGCTTTTTGAGGCTATAGGGAAGAATCTGTTTCTTTGTTATTTTAAGTTTTTAGAGGTCTCCCACATTCCTTGGTTTGTGTCACAGCCAGCGATCCCATCACTATGACCTCCGCTTCAATCATTGCACCTCCTCTGACTCTTTCTCCTTTTCATTTATTTATTTTTTAAAATATTTTTTAGTTATAGATGGACACAATACCTTTATTTTATTTATTTATTTTTATGTGGTGCTGAGGATTGAACCCAGGGCCTCACATGTGTTGGGCAAGTGCTCTACCACTGAGCCACAACCCCAGCCTTCTCCTTTTCATTTATAAAGAACATTATGAATTCTTTGGACCCTGTGTGGTAGTTTAGTAAAGAATTTCTTTGCAAGAGCCTTAACTTGATCATGTCTATGAAGTCCATTTTGTTGTGTAAGGGAACA